GTCCCCTTCTTCTTCTTTTGCCCTCCATCGTTCCCAGCATGAGGCTCTTCTCCAGAGAGTCCTTCTTCCTTCTCATTAGGTGGCCAAAGAGTTTGAGTTTCCTCTTCAGGATCTGGCCTTCTAAAGAGCATCCAGGGTTGATCTCCTCTAGGACTGACCAGTTGGATGGCCTTGCAGCCCAAGGGACTCGCAGGAGTCTTCTCCAGCCACCAGAGTTCAAAGGCAGAGGTGCCTGTGACCATATTTGCTCCGTGGAAAGCCCTGGGTGAAGATTTGGGGATGCTGGGTGGCTTCGGACTCTCTCCTAGCCCTGGTGGGACCTTCTAGGAGAACTTCGTAGCTCCTTGATCGCTTGAGGTTGGAGGGGACTCCACTAGAGATATCTTCAGCTTTTGAAGTTGGCAAAGGAGATCCCTCAGGAGAACGGACGGACGAGGAAATGAGACCTGTTCCCAGGGAGAGAAGTCTCTGTCCAACCAGCAGGCCGTTTGGGAAGTTCTCAAGAAGGTCCTGCTTATAAAAGGGCATCTCCAGAGCAAAACTTGGAGGGGAACAGCGTTGAAAGCATTCCACTCCTCCTTCCTGAAGACCTAAATCATATTTGTTTACTGGGCCGTTGTTTGTCCAGAACTCTTTATCAGAGCTGAAACTGGACTTTCGGACTTTTGTCTTCAAGCGACCAGACAAAGCATCATCTTCACGGCATCGATGGTCTGTCTCCCAATGTCCACCTTCCAGGGCGGCCTGAATCTTCTCTCCTAGCTAGAACTCTGGACGGGAGACGTTTCACCCCAAGATTTGTGCCGAGCCCCCTTAATGAAGGCAGTGGAGGCCGTGCGCATTCCCACGACGGGCAGACAGTCCTCGACCTGCAGCGTTCCATTTAGCGACCGTTCGAAATGACTGGAGGGGGAAAAAAGGTGACCCACGATCGTTTTTCACCCTTAACGACCATCGCAGCATCCCCCGTGGTCCCGTAAACAAGATTCAGACGTGTGTCAATGGACTCCTATTTATGACGGTCACAAAAGGGGGTCACGTGATCCCCTTTTGCGACCCTCTGACAAGGGGGCGTAACCAGATTCGTTTAACGACCATGTGCCTAATTTAACGACTTGCTTAAGCGCTGGGGTGAGAGGTGGCGCGGAACGGGGGGGAGAACTCACTCAGCGGCTTGACTCGCTTAGCCACAGGAATTTGGGGCTCGGCGGCGGTCGTAAGTCGAGGATGATCTGTATTGCGTCTGGGTTAGCAAACTTAGCAAACTCACCTCCCCCCGATGCACGCTCAAGCATGTAAAAATATTGGCCGTGTTGTGTGAGGTTTGTACATGTGAAGCACAAATGTGTTATAGTGTCCGATTCCTGCAAGAGGCAGGGGTTGGACTAGTTGACCTCTAGGGTGCCTCCCAGCCCCGTTAAACCTCAGTCCGGTCAGCCCCGGAGCCTGAATTCAGAATCCCAGAGTTGGAAGGGGCCTTGGAGGTCTTCTAGTCCAACCATTTCAGAGTCCCTGGGAGGGATCGCAGTCGAAAGACCGAAAAAACGCTTTGAAAACAAAATCAAACTTCACACTCGGTCTCCTTTTTCCCACGGCTTCGTGTGGCCCGTGAGGTCACTCCCCGAAGTGTTAAGCCGTGGCTTATGGTTTAACACCGTGGCCTCACCCCGGGATGTCTCACAACAAGCCGTTGGAAGGCCACAAAAATGAGCAACTTTGCAAGTTGTTTACTTTGGAATTTAGCGTATCGATTTTTTTCTTCTCTCTCTCTTTGTCTCTCTCCGTCTCTTTCTCACACTCGTTTCGGATCGGCTCCGCTGACGGTTTGGCAGCTAAGCCCGTCTCCATGGTCACCGGCGTTGACAGATCAACACCCCGCAGACTCAAATTCTTCGGCACCTACTTCACCCGGCCAGAATCGCTACCCCCCCCACCCCCCCATATCCGCTGTGTGCTTGTTAGGAACTCCGAGGATGCTTCATATCCGGTTGGAGTTGTGCGGACGGCTTCTCATTCCTCCGACTCGTCGAGCTGGTCTTGACTGTGCCAAGGGTTGGTGTGGAGGCATCTCGGTAGCTTCCAGGCGTTGGTGGGCGGGCGGGCGTGTGGGTGTTGCTCCGCCTTACCCGGCCTGGGTGGTGGTGGTGGGCGTGGCCCAACGAGCGTTGAGGAGACGCAACCTGGAGGGCCAAAGGAGGACTTGGGATGAAGCGAAGCTGGGGAGATGCGTTCTCCTCGGGCATCGGGTTGCTCCTTCCCAGCTTCTTCCGCTAAGAGTGGTTGGGTTTATCTCATGGGTCTCCTCTAAGGGTCTTTGGGGTGACCCCAGAAGGGGGTCACCCCGAGGAGGTTGCGTTTCTAAAGATATGGAAGCAACGTTCAAATGTCATGAGTTCTTCAAGAGCTACCTTATCTCTCAACCATTCCTGGTTCCATCAACCTCGGGTGGTCTACCTTGCGTGGTTCTTGACCTAGGGATAGTGGTTTCAGCACCAGGGAGAGCTCCCAGATAAGATAAGGACCGTCTTGGGCCTTGGCTAAATAGACCTTCTATTTCAACTGCCGAACTGCCGGCCTTTCTGATCGACAAGCTCAGCCTCTTAGCCACCGCCTCTCATCAAACTAGACATCCCCAATTCCAGCAACCTTCCTTCATATGTTTTAGCCTCCAGTCCCCTAATCCTCTTTGTTGCTCTTCTCTGCACTCTTTCTAGAATTCAAACTGGACATTGGCGTCTCTTGGAAACAGAAAAACCCAACCCATCTCTCTTCCTTCCTAATAAACTCTTGTCGGGCTGTACATTCCTGTTTTATCTGCTCAACCTTGAGTAAATTGTTGGTCTCGCCCACCAACGGTGCAGTTGGGAGAGGACGGTGGTGGTGACAGCCTTTCCGTTCCCAAAGTTGCGGCAGGGGTTGTGGCCCGCCAGCAGCCAGTGGAGCTGAGTCAGCAGATTCGGAGAGTGAGGAGGGTTGGGGAGGAAGATGGGCCAGTCCTGGAGTCTGGGGAACGCTCGGACGAGGNTAAAAAAATGCAAGAAGAAAAATAGGAAACACCTTTGGTGGGAAGATAACAGGGTTCCGTGTGCTTTCGGCATTGAGTCATGCCAGCCATATGACCACGGAGACGTCTTCAGACAGTACTGGCTCTTCAGCTTTGAAATGGAGATGAGCACCGCCCCCTAGAGTCAGGAACAACTACTAGCACATATGTGTGAGGGGAACCTTTACCTAAGAGAAGAATATGAGTGTGACGAGGCGTATCTGACCATCTGTCTAAATAAAAGAGGAGGTAGAACAGTTGCTTTCACGGGATTGATTCAATTTGTTATTTTATCTCTCAGGCCTTGTATTTGATAGCTACCAACGGGACACCAGAACTCCAGAATCCCGAAAGACTTTCTGTGGTTTTCCGGGATTTTTTGAACCGCTGCCTTGAGATGGATGTTGACAGGCGAGGGTCTGCGAAAGAACTCTTGCAGGTAAAGCTTAATCTTTTGACGAAGCACAGCTCTTATGGAGATTCTCTCTGACAGGCCAAGCTACTCATAAATGTTGCCCCCTTGTATGGTTACTCATATTTGATACATCAGGGCAACCCAAGGGGGAAAGATTAAAAATCAAGGTGCATGGTTGCAACAGCCATCCTGATTTTTCATGCCCTTGCATCATTGGTTTTATGTGGAGACCCAGACAGAGGAAGTCAATCACCCTGAGTGATTTGGATAACTATGGGAACTGGACATTGATGGGATTCAAAAATTTTCACTACTGGCTTGGTGGGCGCGGCTTGGTGGGGAGGCCATGTGACTGAGTGTGTGTGGCCAATGTGACATCACTCATGCCCACTCAGTCACATGCCCCTTCATCTAGCCATGCCCACAGGAAAAGATAGGAAATTTTTTCCCCTATCTACCCCTGCCCTCCCTTCGCTGGTCGCCCCTGTTTTTCCGCTTCCTCCTCCACCACCACCTCTTTGGTTGCTTACCATCTGCAGCAGCTGGCCACAGGCCACTGAAAAGTCCTCAGGTAGGCGAAAAAATCCAAGCAACTTGCAAGGCAATGGGATGTGCATGCGCAAAGAAGATGGCAGCAACAGCAGATGCTTTTTCACCGACCAGAGGACTTTTCAGCGGCCAGTCTTTTTGAGAGCTGGTATGCAAAGAAGTGGTGCAAGCGAGTGGCGACCAGATGGGCAGGGTGAGCAACCGGCAATAGGGGGACCAGTTCGGGGGCGTGGCCAGCCGGCTATCGCTACCGGTTCACTGAACTGGGCAAGATTTCTGCCACCGGTTCGAGCAAACCAGTTCGAGCCGGCTAAATACCACCTCTGGAACTGGATGGATAAGGTTGTCATGTTTTCATTCCAGCTTGATTTGTTTTTGATTTTCAAACTGATCTCCTGGTGAAAGGGCCACATCAATTTGATTTGAGCTTTTCTTAAAAGGGCACGTGGACCATGCAGGAATGTCCATTGAACCTCCACACGTTTAAAGATACCTGTTTCAGTTTGATATCTCCACTCAATGTATGGATTCACGCGATCTCTTTGAAGAGCTGTAGTCCCTTGGCTAATGTTACAATGCCATATACCACCTCAATAAATAATTTACCTGCCTGTCTCAGTTCCTAAAGAGATAAATTATTTACTTTTTCCTTCCAGCACCCGTTTTTAAAACTGGCCAAGCCGCTATCCAGCCTGACCCCCTTGATTATTGCTGCAAAAGAAGCTATCAAGAACAGTAGCCGCTAGTTGCTCGAATAGCACAGGCCTTGGCAGGACTGAACACCAGACCAACAAACTCTGTCACACCTTGGACTCTGCTGTGGCCGGACGGGCAGGCGATGAGCCGCATTGTCACTGTCAATGGGGGAAGGGAAGCGGGAATGACACCACTGATCACATCTCTTCTTTCCACTCTTTGAGAATCCCTTAATTTATTTCTGAGGTGAATGGAAGCTTCTGGAGCAGAAGCTAGACTGGACGTTTCTTTTGCTCCGTGCAGCGGTGTTTCCAGGGGACCACAGCACTGCATGATCAAACTCACTGGGACAAGAGTGCTAACACCCCCCCTCCACACACACACAAAAACAGCTCTCCTTTTTTGGGGGGCTTTCCAAAAGGAGGAGAACAATCCTTTTTCTGCTTCACCTCACCAGGAAGAACCCAAACTGTTCCCTAGCTCCTGATCAGCGGGCTTTGGTTCTAAGAAGAAGAGAATCACCAAGGAAGGCTTGCTTTATTTAACCAAAAAGAAAAAAAGAAAGAATATCATAATAACAGTGAGGACGATGATGACGATGACAGTAAACCCAGAAGTTGATCGATAGCAGCATCTTCTTGTGGGGATGGGGTGGGGTGGTTATCCTTTGGAATAGATGAGACAGAGAGCATTGCAGTTCTGAGAGCCTAAAAGAGAACAATGTCGTTATGTTGATGACGTCACCTTGGCGTCATGGTGATGATGTCACGATGCATATTGGTGCTTTTGTGTTGATGAGTTTTTTTCCCTCTCCCCCCCAATGAAAAAGAAAAGAGGTTGACGTAGAGAAAAGAACCAGGAGAGCTGATTTGAATGGAATGGCAAATGCTTTTGTATCTGGCAATAGGATCGGTGCCTATCCTCTTCTCCAGAATCCTGAGCACTTCTTCTCCAGAGCATCTCCTGAGGCTCATTTCTCCAGGGTTGCTCCATTCCACATTCTGGAGGGTCAGGCTCACTCCCTATTTATTGTCTGAATTGCCCCATGCTTAAATTCAAATCCACGGGAAGAAATGTCCTTTCAAATTGGAGAACTTCTTAATATGAAACCTGATCAGTCATCCTGCCCACCCATAAATCTTGCAGGAAAGAAAGTCTCCCAGGGCATCAGCCTGAATCCAGGTGAAAGCTCACTTCAAACTCTGCACTTATTTTGATATGTGGATTGAATTTCCCCTCCCCCCCTATCACAATCTGATTTTTTTTAAAGGAAAACAAACTCTTGTGAATTTTAAGTTTTCCAATATAACAGGATTTGGGAAGGGGATACATGCTGAGGCATCTGCCCACCTTTTGAGAGGACTGATGTGAGCCGGGACTTCCTGAGCCCTCTGCCCATGCTTGAGGAGCTCAGAAAGAGAGAGGTTTAAAGAGGAGCCTTGCCAGAGAAACGGTTCAGCCACAGAGAGCATGAAAAAAAATGCAGCAATACATAATTGGATGGGGTTATTTTACTTCCCCCAAGCCTGTTTGAACTGTGACCTAACCTAAAAAGCATTGAATCTGGAATTTCTCAACTCCCTGTATTGCTGAAATCTAGCAATTACTGTGAATATCTGTTGATGAAGCAAATAGCTTTGATTAAACAAATTTGTGTTGATGTTTCTTCCAATCTGAGTAGGACATAATCTGGTTCTTTTTCTTTCTTCTTCCCTAACCATGAGCAATTAAAATATAAGTTGACTATGATTTGCCGGCTATCTTCACTACCCTGTGTTTCTCTCCAAAGCATTGTAAGCAATTCTTGATGGTTTCTACACATCACGCTGGTCTCACGTAGTAGAATAGGCCAGGTTACCTTTTTCTTGGTCAGTTGGCCATCCTAGTTATTGCTGTACTTTAAGTTGAGATGAAAACGTTGGACGGTGTGTATCTCAGACAGTAGCAATGTTGAATTTGGCATGAAGGTCATGGGGAGGGGCAGCTCTCCCTAACAAAAGATGAGTGTCAAAGGAAAGTGGTGAGAAGGAGGATGTTGGCTTCCAAAATAAGAGATCAGTGGACCCATTATGGAAGCAAGATCCATGATCTCCTCTTGAACGTCCCATTGCACATTGAACATTTTTTACCCACTATAGGGGAACTATAGCACACTCTGATTTAATGCAGTACAGCTGTCTATCAAATCATTATTTTGAACAGTGTCCTAGTTCAGGGGTCGACAACCTTAAACACTCAAAGAGACATTTGGACCCTGTTTCCCATAGGAAAAAAAACCACTGGGAGCCACAAAACCCTTTGCGTGCCTGACTATTTCCTGAGCTGCCACAAAACTAGTATATATAATTGAATTAAACATTCCGTTTTCTCCTGACACTTTTCTTTTCTTGGATTTAACCATGCTACTCTCTCATTTGAGGATTGATTGATAATATCTTTTATGCATGTCTGTGCTTAGTAATGTGGCAAAATTAATATGCAATAACTTAAACATCTGGAGGATTACAATCCCCTCATGTAGCATGACTCTCCAATATTTTAACCACAGAGACTCATCTATCACACATCTTGCACACATGATTCTATTTGCTTTATTTCATTTCCCTTTATCTCGTGTTTTGCTGTTCCATCCTTTTTTGTATATATCTGAATTGCAACCATTATAGAGCCATAGAATCAACAGGTAGCGCAGCTGTGCTGAAAATTTGATGGAGCCCAGCCTTCAAATCTGCATAGACCCAAGCCTCAATCTTTAAGGAGAGCCCTTAATTATTATTCCTCTTAGAGAAATGGCATTGAGTGATGGCTCCCTGCTTCATGCTTGAGGATAGCAATAGCAATAGCAGTAGACTTATATACCACTTCATAGGGCTTTCAGCCCTCTCTAAG